GGACCAGCCGTCCATAGTCAGTCTAGTTTGGGCCAACAGTGGCTCAGTTTCCGGGGTCTCTGGTCTTTTTTTTTTTTTTTTTTTTTTTTTTTTTCCTTTTTGGTTTTTCGAGACAGGCTTTCTCTGTGTAGTTTTGGTGCTTGTCCTGGATCTTGCTTTGTAGACCAGGCTGGCCTCGAACTCACAGAGATTCGCCTGGCTCTGCCTCCCGAGTGCTGGGATTAAAGGCCTATTGCCACCCTGCCCGGCCAGTTCCAGTCTGTCTTTTATGAAACAGTGGTTAACAAGAGAGACTAGGAAAAGCTTTTTATTTACTTATTTATTTATTTTTGAGACAGGTTCTCATGGAACCAAGGCTACCCTGGAACACTTCTTATGGTAGCCGAGGATCTTTAACTTCTGCTCCTCCGGCCTTCAACCGTCTGAGTGTTGGGATTATGGGCATGTGTGACTGTCTGTTTTATCCGGTGCTGGATGTGGAATCCAGGACTTTGTGCAGGACTTTAGACAAGCACTTAACCAATCGGGCCACATCCTCAGTCCATGACTATAAGAACCTTAAATATGACCTCGTCCTTGAGAGCCGCACATAGAGCGACATAGATGCCATTGTCCCCTGCCCTCTGCTTCTTAAGATGTCAGAGGGTCTGCACATCCCTAGGGAGGTATTTAGATAAGCATGCATTTATCATCATTTTCACATCATAGTCACATTTCCATATGTGAGAGACCTGGATCCTAGAACTAGGTAGGGCCGGAAGTCATAGGCACTGTCCTTGGGGCAAGCCATAGAAATTAGCATTTTTACCAATGCTATGTACTGAACATAGCTTCTTAACCTTGCCAAGCTGGACCAAAGAGTTTGGTTAAGCACGCTCTTCCTAACACAGGACACCGATCAGGACAGATCCCTGCATTTATTTTTCCTGTTTACCCTTGATTTTCCTGTCCGTATATATCCACCCTCGAGCATCTGTGCCCATTTGATTTTAAAGGCATGTTTTTATGTGACTGGTGTTTTGCCTGTATGCATGTCTGTGTGAAGGTGCCAAGTCCCCTGGAACTGGAGTTACAGATAGTGAGCTGCCATGTGGGAGCTGGGAATTGAACCCGGGTCCTCTGGAAGAGCAGCCAGTCCTCTTAACCACTGAGCCATCTCTCCAGCCCCCTCAATATAGTTTTAAAATTTTAATTCCTAGCTATTTTTTTTTTTTCCCCAGAGCTGAGGACTGAACCCAGGGCCTTGCGCTTGCTAGGCAAGTGCTCTACCACTGAGCTAAATCCCCAACCCCCCCCCCCCCTTTTTTTTTAGACAGGGTTTCTCTGTGTAGCTGTGGAGCCTGTCCGGGGACTAACTCTGTAGACTAGGTTGGCCTCCAACTCACAGAGATCCACCTGCCTCTGCCTCCCAAGTGCTGGGACTAAAGGCATGCGCCACCACTGCCTGGCTAATTCCTACCTATTTTTATTTAGTAAAAAATACATTAGATATCTTATCCTTTTTAAATATTTTATTTTTATGGGTATGAACGTTTTGCCTGCATAAGTGTACCACATGCATGCAGTTCCCACAGAGGCCAGAAGAGGGCACTGTATCTCCTTGAGCTGGAGTTACAGACGGTTGTGAACCATCATGTGGGTGCTGGGAACATAACTGGCATCCCTTACGAGAGCAGCCAGTACTCTTAGCTGCTGAGCCACCTTGCCAGCCACACTTTACACATTTTAAATGTACAGTTCTGAGTATGGTCCACACTTACACTGTTGAATAACCCTCGCCATCATCCACCTTCAGAAATCTTCCATCTTCCCCACTAAAAGCTCCATGCCCACAAACTAATAGCACCTCAGCTCCTGCCTCTCAGCTCCTGGCAAACACCACCTGCTTTCTGTCCCTGCAAATATGAATCACACCCTCTTAGTCATTTTGTGATGAGTTTATTTCACTTGGCAGAGAGTTAGTTTGCAAGGCTTATCTGCGTCACAACACAATCAGTACGTCTTTTTAAAGCTAAATAATATTCCACTGTGTGTTCTAACCATACTTTGTCTCTCCATTCATAGTCATTTGTGGGAATTCCAGCTTTGGGTATTGTGAAATAATGCTGGTATTGGTATGCAGATACTCTCTTTGGACTCCTGCTTTCAGTGTGTGTGTGTGTGTGTGTGCGCGCACACGCATGCACCTAGAAGTGGAATCACTGGACCTTATGGTAATTATATTTTTTTGAGTAATTATGCTGTGTTCTCCACAAAGGCAACACCATTTCATATTCCTGGTGGCAATGTGCACATGGTCATTCTACATTTTACAAAAATAGCCTTGTACTCTTAACTTATTGATTTCATTTGGAACTGTGTTTTTCTTTAAAATGACATTTACTTATTTGTGTATATATATGTATTCATTTTTGGGGGGTGCGGCATGTGCCATGGCCTGCATATGGAGGTCAGAGGACAACTTTCAGGAGTTGGTTCTCAGCTGACATGGAGCTCCACGTTGAGCTGTTTTTTTGAGTTCTAGGAGGGCAACCCATGTGTAGGGGCTACAAAAAGCTGCTGCCTGCTGATTGAGGTCCTCTGATGACAATTCCAGTCCTGGCTTGTCCACCTTTCTTCACCAGATGTCACCTTCCTGTGTGACACATAGGCAGAAGCCTCTCAGCACTCTACCCAGGTTTCCCACCTGATGATTAAATATCTTCACTGCAGCCAGGTGTCTGTTTCTTTGCATGATGCATGATTCCTCCAGGAACCACACCGGCCGGGTACACTTTAGCATGTGGATGTCCCTGGCTCTGACCTGAGCGTACTTTCTATTTCTAGGGAGATATAGCTGCCTCCACCCCCTATCCTGCCTCTCCTGAACTTTGCGCTTACCGTGATGAAAAATTAACTGGGCTAATGTTTCCCTTGCAAGGACAAGGACAAAGTCTTCAAGGCAGGCCTGGCTGGGTCCCAGGAAAGCAGGTGCCAACTGAGGTTAAAACCAATCCCGAGCCACCACCCTTTCCCTGCCCAGGGTAGAGGGGTCTGCTTCTCCCCATCTTCAGAGCTTTGTGAAACTGCCCTTGTGCCCCCCCCCAATGTTCTCACAGGGAAACTTGAGGAAAAATCCCAGTGCTCAAGAGGCAGAGGCAGGTGGATCTCCGAGTTCAAGTCTATAGAGCACATTCCGGGACAGCCAGGACTACATGGAGAAACCCTGTCTTGAAAAACTTAAAGAAAGAAAGAAAGAAAGAGAGAGAGAGAGAGAGAGAGAGAGAGAGAGAGAGAGAGAGAGAGAGAGAGAAAGAAAGAAAGAAAGAAAGAAAAAAGAGAAAGAAAGAAATGATACTCTCAGATTTACAGATGGGTTCATCAGTTTTCTTGCCACCCAGGTGGTCCGTGTCACACTGATGCAGGCACAGGAGGGAAGCCCAGGAAGTGGTTGTTCAGTCACACAAGAGGGTCTGCCCTGCTTATTTCCTTCCCACAGGGAAATGAAGGGGTGGATGACGGTTCCTTCTGGAGCCTCCACGATGTAAAGGTTCCTCCACGACACTGACCCCTCTTCCCCCCTCAGCTTTTCTCTTCAGGCTCCCTTATGTATGTAGCTTCCCTCAGACATGGCTTCACCTGTGAGTGAGGGACTTGTCCTGGAGAGCAATGCTAATGCTTCTAACGTTCTTTCTCGAGTCACCGTATGGTACCGGAGAGACTGGAGACTGAGCAAGGTGAAGAACGGAACGGTCAAGAGCCAAAATCCAAATAGATCAGGGATGGAGTCCGAGCGCCTTGGACTTGACCTGGCTGCCTCACAAAGGCGGGACTGACTGGGTTTGGTGTCCGGGTTCAAATGAACTTTTGGCTGGAAGATGACGACTGCACAAGCCCCTTCTGTCCTTCTCTGCTCACCTAAGCACACTGCCATCCCTATCTCTTGGTGCTTCTCTGGGCTGTGAGCTTCTTGTTTACAGAGCGGTGAACTCGCACACACAAAGTGGAGCGAAGCCGGGAGGATTCGGGAAGTTTTCACTGTGGATGTCCCAACAAGTAGCATACTTGTGACATGGAATTGCTGGAGAGAGATTTGACAGAACCCAGCTCCCCTTCTTCATGCATGGCATCAGCACTGACCTCTGGAGTGGGGCCACTCCTGTCTTGCACTGGACTGTTGCAAAGTCCCAACACCCTAGGCAGTGGAGAGGGATGGGCCTGAAACATTTCTGGCAATCTCATAATTATGCACCTGGTGAGAAGAGCTTTTGTTTTGCAAATTGTATCAAAGCTACCCTTTGCAACTCCAGGCCCAGTAGCAAGACCTCAAAAACAAAAACCTGGGTTTAAATCCTGGCTCTGTTCCTTGGGGTCATGCCTCCGGGGCAAATAGGGGCGTGGACTTCGAGGGAAGCGATTGGACTGTCTGGGTTGAAGACAGCAGTTAAGACCATCTTCCTTTCCTGTCTCTAGATAAGAGCTGGGAAGCCCAGTGGTGGTGGGGGAGGCTACAGCCGCAGTCTAACAGGAATGCAGGAACCGGCTTGTTAAGGTCCACTGGGCCTCAGGGATCCTCCTTTCAGGGAGGTGGAAGGAGAGGCCTCTGGCAAGCTGTGGCTGCTGGTGGGGCATCCTGGGTGACAGAGCTGGGGCCCCTGCAGCTTCTGGGCTGACTTTGTGGGACTGGTCAGACCTCATAGGGCTTTGTAATTCCTACCGGCTCTTGGTTTGCAAATAACTTCTTTCTCATCACGGGAGGTGGTGGTGGGGTTTCCCACTGTTTAAAACAAGCACAGCTAACCTGATGGGGAGGCAGCAATAGGGTAAAGGAGCCGAGGGCCTGCTGTACCGCCCCCAAACCCGTGGAAGGGACCCGTAGGCAGCCAGCCCTGAAATCTGCTGGTTGGGGGGAAAACCCCAGGGCTACCCGAAGTCAGGTTCTCTTGGCGTCCCACCTAGGCTAACTTTGAATAAACTTCCCGAATCCTCCCGGCTTCGCTCCACTTTGTGTGTGCGAGTTCACCGCTCTGTAAACAAAGCTCTCTTGCTTGTTTGGCGTCGAATTTCAGTAACACCCTGTAATGTTACTTCTCCCCCTCCCCCAAAGATAAATCCTAAAGCGCCCCCATTCATTCCTTCAGGAATGCAACAGATGTCTTTGAGGCCCGTTTTCTGCAAAGAGCTTGGTTCACTAGGCCCAAGGGACCCCTGGCTCCAGCTATTGTTCAAGTTGTCACTGAGGTCTCTAACTCCACTTTTAAGTCTCCCTCTCCCCCTTCCCAATCCCTCCTCCGCAGTCTCGGGGCAGTCAGCCGGTCTGATCTCACCCAGCAGGAAAACAAAAACAAAACACCAAACCAAAGCAAAATAGCCCGAGCCACTGAGCGAGATCAGTGCGCCCCAGCTTCCTGGGCTTGGAACTGAACCCCTCATCGTGTCCGGGTCCTCTCCGGGGAGCAGCGAGCCCTAGGCGGCCTGCGCCTGTTCCCTCCGAGTCTAACCCTCTCTAGTTCCTGCAACTGCATCTGAGCGTCTTGAGGGCGGCGAGTCCCCAGGAGTCCGGTCCCGCGGCACTTGGCAGAGGTGACGGCCGCTGTGCCCGGTGGCCCACGTGGGCGCGCTTGGCGGCGCGGGGCGGGGAAGGCCGCGGGTCCTCCCCGGAGCAGGGCGCGGGGGAGGAGCGGGGAGCCCCGGCGACGAGGGGGCGGCGACAGCGCTGGGAAGGAGGCTGCACGCGGAGCTGCGTGAAACGTAGACTTGGGAGCGGGCGGGAGAGGAGTAGGGAGCGCGGCTGCACGGCCCTGGCCGGCCCTGCGAGGCGGCGATCGCAGGGGAGGCGGAGGAGAAGGAGGAGGAGGGCTGCAGAGGCGGAGGGATCTGCTCACCACAGCCATCCAGGCCAGCAAAGTTTGGCTGGGGGTTGGACTTTCCTTCCCGGAGGCGGCACCCAAACAGCTACCCCGTGCGGAAACCCAAACTTTCTACTGCCACTCCGAGTCTCGCGGCCGCCGCCTCCGCCCCGCGCGCCCGGGGCCTGCCCGTCAGTCCGTCGGTCCTCGTGGAGCTGCTCGGGCGCCGCCGTGCTCCGGATCCCCGCAGCTGCAGCGCCGCAGCCCCGGCCCGGACGCCGGGGCAAGTTCTCCAGAGTTAGACGCGAAGTTCGGGCGCGGCGCGGGCCGAGCTGCCCCTGTGCGCCCCCGGCGTCCCCAGTGCGCCCAGTCCCGCCGGGGGCGCCGGTGACCCTTCCGTGCCAGCCATGTCGTCCATCCTGCCCTTCACCCCCCCGATCGTGAAGCGCCTGCTGGGCTGGAAGAAGGGCGAGCAGAACGGGCAGGAGGAGAAGTGGTGCGAGAAGGCGGTCAAGAGCTTGGTGAAGAAGCTCAAGAAGACGGGGCAGCTGGACGAGCTGGAGAAGGCCATCACCACGCAGAACGTGAACACCAAGTGCATTACCATCCCCAGGTGGGGGCCCGGAGCGGCGGGGGGGGCGCGCCGGCCCAGCCCCCTAGGGCGGCCGGGGTGGAGAGGGAGGGCGTGTGCGTGTGTGTGTGCGCGCGCTAGTGTAGGGGACAGGCAGTGGGTGGAGGGACCCCAAACAAAACCTTCGGATTTGCCCAGGTTCAGAGCCCAGGCTTCCATGCGGCACTCTGGCTTCCAGACCTCAAGGATCGCTAGCCGCCTCCGGGCAGCAGGGGTGCTGCTGAGCTTGGCCCCCCACTCTCCGGGCTTTGGGCTCCAAGTAGAGGCCCCGCTTTGTTCGGCTCTGCCGGCCGAGCCCCTCCTCCGCCGCCGCCTCCCGCCCCGCGCTCGTGGAGGTGGTGGCGTGTGTCCCTTTCTTTTCTTCAGCTCTGTTCCCCCACTTCTTTTCCTCGTCTACAGGAATGCAGTCGGTACAGCTGTGGGTGAGGAGCGGGAGCCGTTGATTGACAGATTCCTTCTTCGCTCTTTCTTTGCCTTGGGATTAGCATTTTTATCGAGTATTTTTAGATTTGGTTGTGCCAGCCTCCCGCCCCCTGTGCACGCATGCACGCACGCACTTAGTTGCAGAGCAAAGCACCGACTTTGAAGCGGGAGAAACAAGTGGCAGAAAGTAGGGGCATTCCCTCTTCCCACTCCTCCATTCCCTCTTCCCACTCCACCTCTGCCTGGTTTACCTTCGTTTTAATCGAGAGTTTGCTGGTGCCTAGAACCGAGCAGGCAGCTCCAGACAACAAAACACCCCAGAGCTGGCCTCCCTCCGCCCCTGCATTCCTGTAGAGCCTCTTTTCCCAAAACGCTTTGCCATCTGTCCTGACCTCCTTTATCCTTCCCATCGGGCTAGAGGAGTCCGACGGGAGCTCACAGATGGCTGATGGAAGGGGTCAGTGACTTCACTCCTGGGGCCTCCCGGAGCATAGCCGCGCCTGGGAATTGGGGTGAGGGCACTTTAGCCTTCTGTCTCCACTTCTCAAGACACCTTTAAAGACTGATTCCAGAGGAGGGACAGGTGCGGATGTTGTGTGTGTGTGTATGTGTGTGTGTGTGTGTGTGTGTGTGTCCGTGTCCCAGGATGCAAAGGAATGCAGAGAGGGCTCCCAGGGCCTAAGCTAGAGAGGTCATCATCCTTCTGGGCCTCCATCCTTGGCCACCTGCTCAAGGCAGCTGTGTATATGCTGCCAGCCCTGACAGTCATGCACAAAGCAACATCTGTCCACAGGAACCCAGGGTCGGCCTTCCCTAGAAATAAACACCACATATGGTGGGAATGCATGCTTAAAAAATAGTTTAAAAACAACAACAACAACCATCAGCCCCCCAACCCTGGGTGGTACAGGGGGAGGGAAGGCAGTATGTTGTCTGGGAAGAATGCTTGGCGTGTGAGCCTCTGCCAGCTGGCTTTAGGGGAGGTGGTGTGATGTGATGGTCAGAGGCACCTGGGTTTTAGCTGCAGCTCTGGCTACTCATTCTTCTTCATCCTTTTGACAAAGTGGGATGGTTGAGTCTCGGGTCTCTGTCAGATCCGGAGAAATGGCCTTTTCCTAATATGCCTGGGTGCACCCAGACCGAATGCTTTATGTTTTGACACCCCCCCCCCAGTTGATATCAATTATGAAACAGCTGTGCAGAATGTTTCACAATTTACAAGGCACTGTCATATGGCCCGATGAAGACCTGGAAGATGACAGAACCGGAAGACAGAAAAGGCAGCGAGGTCTAAAACGATCCTGACCTTGCTTTCCCCGCAGCCCTCCCCAGCCCTGGGCAGGTGAAGGAGAGATCAGGCTAATCACCCCCACAGCACCCGGGCCTTCTAGGACTAGGCATCTCAGCCTGCCCGTTCGTTCGTGGAAGATGGGGTGTGGAAGCAGGGTTTTTGGTTGCACCCAAGGCTTCCTACATGTTAGTTAAGCACTCTGCTACTGAGCTATCCTGCCAACCCTGGGATTGTTTTCTTTTATCTTTTCTCATCTAGAGAGACCCAGTTGCTTGGGTGGATTCAGACAAAGGTGGATTTCCATCCCTGGATTTTGTGCCCACGCCTCTGGGTCACCCTGTCTCCCCTGGCAGCAGCTGCTGCTGTTTTGGCCATGGGCAGAAAACTAAAGGCCACGTCTTGGGGAGGCGACTGGCTGGCTTCATGCTAGTGCTATCCTGGTGTCTGCTAAGCCCCAGGCTTGCGTGCTGCTTGTCACATTGCTGTCTTTGAGAACTGGGGCTTTGGAAAGTAGACAAAGGAAAGTGTGTGACTTAGTCACCCGCTTCGTGTGGGGCAGGAGGCGGGACACTGGGTGCTTCAGCACATTCTGTCAAATCTGGAGGCTGGCTTTGAGGACTCTCAGTCTGAGATGTGTAATGGACATCTTGAGTAGCAGTGGCACCATTTGGTTGTGGTAGCTGTCGGCGGCCACATGCCGGCTTGGTTCCCCCAGCTTTAGGCAGTTTGAGTGATCAGGAGAGCTGGAATGATAGAAGCTTGCCACCACAGAGATGAGGTGCAGGAGTTTGATTTTACTCCGCAGAGGGGAGAGCAGGGCATCTCAGATCTGGCAGGGGTGGGCAGAGCTTGGGTGAGCTCCATGTCAGCAGCCCACTCCCACCTGCTTGAGAGTCTGAAAGGAGCACAGGTGCCCTCCACTCCAGTTCCTAAAAGCGAAACTGAAGCTACTGGCCCTGAACATGCCTTAACCTCCCCACTTCCTACAGGCAACAGCAGTGCGTGAGCTGCCTTGTGGTGTGTGTGTGTGTGTGTGTGTGGGGTCCATGGCTCCGGTAGTTGTTTGAAGCTGGACCAAGCTGAAGGTGTTGCTGGTTAGAAAGGATCTTGGGCTTTCTTGCAACAGAGCACCCAAGTCCAGAGAAAATTCGAGAAGTGAAGAAGGTCTGATAGGAAGCATCTCCAACCTCTTTGTTCATTCCGTTTTTAGTGTGACCTCCTCCCGGGGCCTTCAGGGATGTTACTAGGCTACCTTCAACTGGCGGAGAGAGGAAAAGTACTTTCACCTGTAACACAGCTTTCTCAGGCTTCTGGGGACCAACACCAAGGCTGTAGATAATGTCCTGTAGGTCTCAGCACCTGGGGCCTCCCGCCTCCGTGTAAAGGGCTGGCAGCGAGCCTGCTCCCAGCTGCCTGCAGGGCAACCCCTCAAGATAGGGGCTGCAGGACATTGGGGAGCTGACTAGAGGGCTGACCCAAGTGTCACTTAGTAGTCTCAGATTGGAGGGAACTTTGAGCCTTGCTGCTTGGCCCCAGGGGCTGGATGTTTGGACCCGTACTTGGTGCAGGCAGCGTTTTTTACTCTCCATTTGTGATCAGACATTCTAGGCTAGCTTTTTGTGTGTTAGGTGATATTAACCAGACCAGTGGTCTCTGAGTCAGTGTTACAAGCTCTCCTGTGGAAGGATGATGCAGAGATACATTGGAGATGCAGAGATACATTGGAGAAGATAGAGGGACTTTTGGAAAGTGGGGGGTGGGGTGGGGAAGATGCTTATGATAGATGCTTTAAATGTGAAGGCCCAACAGTAGAGTATTAATCAGTGACAGCCACCTGCTTTCTCAGGGGAAGATAAACCTCACCTGCCCTGGAATTCAGGTCCCAGGCCTGCCTTGTTTTTATTGTATTAGTGTATTTTTAAAATGATTTATTTATTTTATGTACATTGGTGTTTTAGTACCCTAGAACTGGAGTTACAGACAGTTATGAGCAACCATGTGGATGCTGGGAGTTGAACCCGGGTCCTCTGGAAGAACAGTCTGTGCTCTTAACCGCGGAGCCATCTCTCCAACCCCTATTAGTATATTTGTGTGTGTGTGTGTGTGTGTGTGTGTGTGTGTGTGTGTGTGTGTGTGCTGCACCTTTGGAAATTGGAGGATGGCTTGCAAGCTTGTTTTTTCCTTCCACTATGTAAGTTCCGGATATGGAACTTAGGTCACTGGTCTTGGTGGCAGGCACCTTGACTGGCTGAGACATCTCACCAGCCCAGAACCTGCCTTTGGCCACCTGGATGGCTTTGGGACCACCAGGTTCCCAGCCCTCCTTGTCTGCACCTGTAAAATCAGGGTAAGATGAGGAACCGGAAGCGTTGGTGCCCATGCTGGGGAGATGTGTGTTTTGCCTTCTGTCCTTACCACTCATTGATGCGGACTTACTCAATCACTTTTCAAGGGCCTTTCGAGACGGGCACAGGTACTTATGGAGCTCAGCATTCCTGCCTCAAGATACAGGCCTCTTAGGGTGGCCGAGGGTTGCATAGTGCTCTGTGTTGGGAGCAGGTGTGTGTGTGTGTGTGTGTGTGTATTGGGGAGGTTGATTTGTGCTGGGAAACTGAAGGTCTGAGGAGTCTGGACTGACTGCAGGAAGCCCATGGAAACTTGGTCTTTTCTTTATTATTATTAGTGCATATTTGTTGTATAAACTAGATTTCATTATGACATTTTCATATCTTGCATTTTGCTCATATTTGCCTCCCATTCCCCTCCCTGATCTCCCATCCCCCACTGGTCTCCTTCTAGTCCCTCTTCTACTTTCATCTCTTACATATTTAAAAAAACAAACTCTAGATCCTGCCTGTGAGAGAAAGTGTACTATGCCTGTCTCTTTCAGTCTGGTTTTTGCTTAACATTGTGATCTCTAGTTCTACCCATTTTCCTTGAAACAACATCCCCCCCCCCCCCCCCCCCCCCCCCCCCCCGTGTGTGTGTGTGTGTGTGTGTGTCTCGGAACCCAAGGCCCTGTGTCTTGAATGACACCTTTATCTTCTGACTTTTGCCAAGCAGACAGGTGCTGTGAGTCTCTTGTCACTTGCACAGAAGGGCTTGTGAGCTGAATGCTGCCCAGGACTCAACTATGAAATGTGTTCTCTTTGAAGTAAAAGGCAACTTAGTGTTGCAAACCTGAAATTCAGGTTTCCGTGGGAGCAGGGACTCCAGCATGTGACTATGGGTCCTTAGCCTTTCCTTTGGGTACAACTTGACTTTTCAT